TATCTAACAATAAACACCTTAACCCTTCACTAATTATCCTAAATCTACCTAACCCATGGATTCAATAATTGTCTACTCAAAAATCTCCATGATAAACCTTAAACCCATATGAGATTCAAAGTTAATCATGTTAATGAGAATGAGAAACAAGATATAAGATGAAGTACTTCCTTAAAATGATAAAAAGGTTCAAGCTTTTATAATTAGAAGCAAGTTCTTGAGAGAAAATGAGATACTTTAGGGTTTTAGGGGTCCAAAACTATATATAGAGAGTCCAAATTCGTGCTGGTTTAATTAAATCAAACCGGGTCAAACCGGTCAATGCTTCACATCTCAGTCGCAGCGACCTTCACGCCTCGCTCCAGCAAGCCGCTCCCGAGCTCGCTTCGATCCCGGCGATGGCATCACGTCGCTGCAATCACCCGCTCCAGCTCACGCCCATGATACGGCGACTTCACCAACCCGTTGTGTGTTGCCCGCTCTGAACTAGCCACAGCGGCTACTCCTCCATGTGCTTTCAACACCGGTGAGCTCACTGCCTCCCTCGAGCTTCTCCTCCATTGCCATGGCCAAGCTCGAGCTTCAACCTTCCACCACGAGGGCACCGTTCCAAGCTTCTCCACCAACAGAACCTCCGTCATCACCTCTCCCTCGCTGTCTTGGCCATCGTCTACTCCAAGCCGCAGCCAAACCAGGCGCCTCCAGCTTCGCATCTCACCGGACTTCGATTCAACACCACGAGATCTCTTGTACAAATCGCCTCCTCGCTGTCGTGCTCTCAGCCCGTGTCGTACTCAGATCGTGGCCGTGCTCATCGTCGCCGTCGGGTTCGCCGTATTCCATTCACGGAGGGAGCACGAGCAAGAATGGTGGATTAGAGAGTTATTGCACTTCTGGCCCTTAATCTTCTGGTTTATTTATTGTCGGCCCCAAACATATTGAAAGTGCAGAAACATCCTCTCGATTTAACCCATAGACTTTTGAATGTGCAAATTAAACCCATGCGAACATTCTGAATTTGCAGATCTGGTCCTTGAACTCTCGATGACTTCATATTTGACCCAAGACTTCCATAATGTACCATTTAGCCCATAAATTTCGCCATAAACTTCCAAGATGTGCATTCTTTTTCCTAATGCATACAAATGAACATATATGCAATCTAGACAATTAAATGCAACTCAAAACACTAATTTGATTAAGAAAAAGATGTTAAAAACTATTAAAAACACTACATATCACTATACTCTATGATAACTACGTATTAGCACTGTGCCTGGAAAAGCAACAGAAAACATGTTTGGATGTTAATATTCGATTTGCTCTTCTTGTGTGGCGCATTCAAACTTATAGGACAATATAGTTTGACTTTCATCCACGGTTTGTTGTTGTCGCGGTTGCCAGTGTATTTTCCATTGGGGAACCCTGTTGAAGTTTACTCTAAAGATCGAATAGAAGCTAGTATCTAGAGAAGTAGCTATTTCAAAAGATAAACAAAGAGAGAGCAAAAGTTTGAGTCAATTGGAACAAAGCATTCATACATTTTGGTGGTGGCAGGTTTGGTAGGCCAGCCCTGGGCACTGCCTCATGAAACATTTGCAACAGGCCCCAAAAAATAAAAATCCAATTATATTATATATATAAAATTTTAATAATCATATACATCCCACTTTAAATTTGTTTCAAAAGATGTAGATAATTTTTTTTTTCTGTGAGGAAACTTGTGTCTTATTAGTACTTTGTATTTGAAAGTATTTTTATAAGCTTGTTTCTGTTATTTTTTTTGATGTTGTATACTAGCCCCCATTTTCTATTTCGTTTTTGGTTCCCGAAATTTCAGGACCGATCCTGGGTACAAATGGTGCGTGTCTTTGCCTGCAGTCACACAGATTTATAACACCAACCGAACCTCATACTGCATGAGACTTTAGGATACTCTCACACCTTTTTTTTTTTTTTGAACAAAGGATACTCTCACACAATTTTTAAGTTTTGAATTAAAAAAGAAAACAAAAAGGTTATTATATAGAGAAGTTGTTGTACAAAGAATAATTCAATGGATAGGTTTTCATTGGGGGTATATAGAGAACAAATGGTATTATGATATAACTGATTGTTGAGAACGTGTTGTGTTGTTTGTAAAGAGAAAACGCGTGGCAGTAATGATGAATAAACGTAGGAAAAGAAAGTGGATGGATACTACAACTAAACACGTATTGAATCATATATCATATATCAAATCATAGAAAGTGGTAGTTGGATTCACACACCTATGACCTAACACATTTGCTGATATCTTTTCACTTGCGTTCTGGACCTTCTGGTCAAACCGTTGGTTCAGCCTTCTAATGGGGTATAACTACGAGACATAAAATTAATGAAAAAGTTGTAAAAACTTGAAATAATATTGGTCCTTTTCCTTTTTTTGTTCGTCCTTTTACAACCTCCAACAAACAGTAATAACATACGATTTTCTTACTAAATAACAATGAATTTTAATGTTTTGTACATCATTTGTTTGAAGATCACAAATTTTATCATGTATTTTAGGTGTGTGTATAATAAAGTTTTAATAAAACTCGTTTGAATATATATATATATATATATATGTTTGGAAAGATTCAGATTTTAAGATTATGTGTCTTAATTATTGGTTAAATAATATTGAAAATAATTTGATGTCATTTTCATATATATATATATATATTTTTTTTTTTTTTTTCTTTTTTTTGTCGGCTGACATTTTGATATTAAATTTTAATACATTATTAAAAAAACACACACTAAAAAAGTGCAATTCAACTACATAAAAAATGTCATTTTTTAAAATTTATTACTAATTCAGAAAAACGATTATACTTACTATAGAGGTTAACGAGAAAGCGGTAGTCAATAAATAAATATAAGGTTATTTCTTGTTTTGGGCTCCTCACATTGCTTCAAAGAAGGGGAAGAAGTAACCCTTTTGGCAGAGAACGAAGCATCCCATCTTCTTCTCGATTTTCCAAGTCTCCTTCTTTCCTCCACATAATTCGACAAAGTCTTCGATTTTCCAAGCCGGGGGTGAAGAATTTCGGTCTTGTGAGAAAACCCAATTCTCTAATTCGAGAGATGTCGTCGGGAGAGAAAGATCACGAAGGAACAACGGTGGCTGAGACCGCAGATCAGAACGATTCCGCCGTTGTACCGTCGGAGACTCCCGTTCCCGGCGGCGGAGGCGGGGAGGAGAAGAAGAAAGCGAAGGGTAAAGGATTGTTCTCGCGAATCTGGAACTGGATATTTAGGGTTAAAAGAGACGATTTCGAGAAGAGGCTCAAAGGTATATCAAAGGAAGAAGCTACGATCAGATCCAGGATGAAGCGTAGATCTGTTACGAGGAGGAAACTCATTAGGAATCTCATCGCTTTCTCTGTCTTCTTCGAGGTTCTGTCTTTTTTCTTTGTCAATGAATCAAAAGTTTAGATCTTTTTGATTATCAATGTAACAGTTTTGTTCCTTTTCAGGTGATTGCAGTGAGTTATGCGATTATGACAACTAGAGATGACGATTTGGATTGGAAACTGAGGAGTTTCAGGATCTTGCCTATGTTTCTTTTACCTGCTCTTTCTTTCCTTACTTATTCCTCTCTCGTTAGCTTCACCAGGATGTGTGAGTCTTTCTTTGTGAAAGGATGGAACTTTTGGTGTTGGGTTTGTTGTCTTGATCGTGTAAATTGGTTTGGTGCAGGTGACCGCAGAGATCAAAACACTTTGGAGAAGCTTCAAGGTGAAATGCTGGGGAAGATCGATGAGTTGAAAGAGAGGACTAATTACTTCACCACGTTGGATATTCTTCGTGTAAGATATACTATATGACACAAGTCTAGATTTGCTTGTGTGAGCGAGGCTAGTTCAGATTTTATTGCGTTTATTACTGACTTATGTGTGCTGCTGTTACTTCTTGCTTGCATTACTTTAGGAATTTCTGGTAGGTTTTATTACATGGTTACCATCTAACACGTAATGATGGCAACGGGTTTATCACCTTTAGCTTTATCGTGGGATAAGATAATAACTTCATTTCTACTTTATATTTTAAGTTATCCTTACAGACTTTACAGTTTATTGCATTAGGAGATGTCTTTGAATTTTAGTTGAGCATGGTATCCTGAATTTGGATTAAAGTACACCTTGTTGAGAGTCTCTTTTTTTTTAAGTGGCCGTTAGGAATCTAAACTTAAGTGGTACAGTTTAAATTCGAGTTAATTGGGGACCTAAACTTGTGAGTTCTTGAATCACTTCTTACTGCTACATGTTCAGGACCTTGAAAGAGCTTATATATGCCTTGTTACTTGTTACTTTGGGGTTCTTATTGCTACTGTAACTGGAACTTGTATTTAATTTGAGCTAATTTTGTATCAGAGGTTTGACCCTGACCCAGCTGCGAGGGCGGCTGCTGCAACTATTCTTGCATCCAAGTTGGGCGCTGATTCAGGCTTGAAAGTACATGTAGGAGATGAATCCCAACTTGACCCCTCCACAGGAAAGAGCAATGACATGGAGATCAAACACTCACAAGGGCTCAGGAATCGAAAACAACCAAACACAAGCCGCAGCGTTGCTGGGACCACTTCAACCCACCATTCAGATAATGAGTCTAACCACTCTGGAACAAGCGAAGGAACCACAGAGCAAAACCAGCAGATGGCTTTTGAGCATTTTAACCCCCAGGGATATGCTGCTCATGATGGTAGCTGGATCTCACGCATAGCGGCTCTCCTCGTGGGTGAAGATCCAACTCAGTCATATGCACTCATCTGCGGAAACTGCCATATGCATAACGGTGAGCGAGAGCCATTATCTTTGTCTTTTGTGTGCATCAATAACATAGCTTAACAATGTCTTTGTTTATCTCATAGGACTTTGTCGGAAAGAGGACTTCCTGTACACTACTTACTACTGTCCTCATTGTCGAGCCCTGAACAAGCCGAAGCATTCAGAAGAGCAAGCAGTTGTTCCTCATGCTAGCACAGTTTCTCTGAATCCAATGGAAAGCGAAGTGATTAATAGCAGTAGCTCCACTAGCGAGCGTGGTGACAGTCCAGTCCCTGCAGCAGAGGTTGTGGGAGAAGCCCCAGAAACAAGCTAAGAAAAAGTTCATGTGAGGTAAAGAAGAAAAGGCTTTCGTATGTGTGCTGTGATAGAAAGAGAGAAGATGGTTTTCGTATCTTATACATGCTTGCAATTTTGATTGTGGAAATGAAAGTCAAAAACTATCCGAATAGGTTTTTATTTTATTTTATTTTTATTTTTCGTCTTTCCTTGTAAACACATCGCACCTTGTATTTTTATTTATCTTCTTTACATTGGTTTGGGTTGTTTCTAGTTTGAATTCAGATCAAGATAATGGTTTCGTGAAATCTCTCTTTACTTGATGATTAAAATGAAGAAGAAATACAAAGGCAAACTAAAAAAAATCACTATAATATTAAAAGTGTCTTTACCAAAAATGACATAAAAGTTTCTCGAAACTGTCCCGTCCATTGATGAAACAAAGTTTTCGTGAAAATATTTTATTTGTAGACATGAAAATGATTGTATGGTAAAATGACAGCTTACAATTAACTCTAGAAAAAAAAAGTTATAGTTTGCGCAAAAAAAGATAAAAAAAAAGGTTAAAGTTTACATTCATTATTAAAGGTTACTTTTCTAAGGTAAAATGGATGTATCTGTGTAAGAGAGCCGAGAAGAAGAGACCAAAATTGAGATAGAGCTTGACACGTTGAAGGCCACCAATTAAGATTGAATTGAATAAGGTTTGCTTCTTTGCTCTTCCGCTGTGATTATAATTTGTTGTCGTTAGCGCTGTATGGTCCACGAAAATGTTTTTAATATCAACTACTCGTCCAAAATCACCAGAGCTTGGTTTATGAAAACTGAAGGGAACCAAAAAACTTCAGGAAGAAGTAGAGCATGAATTGAAGATGGTAGTAACAAAGATCAGAAGACACAACTACGCTAATGGGAATTACGAACCAGATTGTATCTTTGTATGATTTAACCTTGTAGAATATAAAATTGACAATAGCAAATGTTTCTGTTTTTTATTCAAAAACTTATGATTACTTGTAGCTCAAGCAACCAAAACCGGAAAACTCTCAACTTCTTCTCTGGGATGTAATAGTTATAAACAAGAAAAGGAAAGAAGTTGAAATCGGTATCCATTTAAGGGAACTTAAGACCCAATTGTTTGAGAATATCAACGTAGCTAACCCTTTCATCTCTTTCCTCCAGATTCTCTCCATTGTTACGAAGAAGAGCTTTGATAACTCCTTTGAATGGAATCTCAATTTCACCATAATCATCACCACTACTTTCAGTGACCTCGATTCCTTCAGTTACAGACTGAGCAGAAGAATCATCCAGTTCCGATTGCTTCCCCGGAGAAGAAGAATCGAAACCGGAATTCTTTCCCGGAACCCTAACATCGCCGGCCGCGAGATTTTGCGAAGACGAAAGAGACCTCACCTCCGTCACAGGTTCCTCGGGACCAGAAACACGATTCACCTCAACATTTCCCGCCGCGAAAGACAGCGGAGGAGTCAGAGGAGTCAAATCCCTAACAGGTTCATCGGAATTCGTCTCCAAAACCTTAACGTTTTTCACTGTGAGAAGAGACGCCGAAGCAGAAACACGCGTTGTCGATTTGATCGCCGAAACCCTAGCTTTCGGTTCGGATTCGGCGGCGGAGGAGAGAGAGGCGTTTTCGGGAGGAGTACGGAAGACGTCTTCGTCGTTGATGGAATCGAGGCTAGAAGGCGAGAGGATCGGAGTGTGGGTAACCGGGGGTGAAATCGGGGTTAATAGAACCTCCGTGCTGATGGAAACGGTGTCGTCAACTGCACGGGAAGATTTAGTGGGATCGGCGAAGGGGCAGTTGTTAAGGATGGATATCTGTGAGGATGTGACACTGCCGAACTCGCTCTCGCCGCTCTCAACATTTTCCCCCATTTTTTTTTATTTATTCTTCCACTGTGGCAGTTTAATTTAATTCCGTATTATAATGAGATTCCAGTGTTTAGTCATCATCTCTCTTCCTGCTCCTGTCGCCACAAGTCTACTATTCCGTCCGTTTCAAATTAGATGTCATTTTATAGTAAAATTTTCGTTTCAAAAATAAATGTCGTTTTATAATTTTAATGCAAAATTTATTGATTTTAAATATCATTCTATTTTTCATTGGTTGAAAAGTAGTTAGGTGTATAGGTAATTGTGTTTTTATTTTGAAAATATGTAAAATTAATTGTTTTTTAATCTGTGTGCAAAAATATAGAATGACAACTAAATTGAAACGGAGGGAGTAATATGTATACAAAACTATAATATTTTCTACTAATGTTATAATCTTCTATTAATAAAAAATCAAAGTAAACTACTCTATTAAATTAGTATTTAAAACCACAAATAAATTTATGTCTAAACTCTAAGCACAAAAAGGGATTGCCATATAATATTTAAAAAATCATAAAAATAAAAACTTTTAACAAAATAATTTAGTTTAGAGAAAAGTTTGGATATTGGATAGGATCGCTAATTTGTAGCAAATCTTGATCAGTTTCAACTGGTTTTATGGTTTAACTCAAAGCAGGATTTAATGCCACATAATTTATATAGAAAATATTATCTTAAAAAAATATGAATTGATTGGTTGATTTTATAAGTTAACCATCATGTTCTTTTTTTTTTACCACATACAGTTAATCATCATGTTCAATTCTCATTTAAAAAGCTTATTGAATGATATAAATTGTTAATAAAATTATCATAAAAACGATGATAACAAAAGTTAACATGAAATGTAAATCTTAAAAATAAAAAATGTAAATCTTAAAAATAAAAATGTTAATCAAATTTCCTATGATAGCCCTAAAAAAAGTTTCACAAATATAAATTTTAAAAATAAAAATGATCAAAATATACTTAAATGTTTTATAAAAAATAAGTAACTATATACTTATACTCTTTGGGTTAACTAATTCTAGATTTTTTGTTTAGAGTTGATGAGTGGATTCTCGGAATAGTATTTCAAATTTTAAAAAATTAAAAAAAACTTAAAATTTTCAAAATAAAAAAATACTATTATGGTCATTTTAGTTTTTGAAATCTATTTTAATGATAAAAACATAAAATGGTCTATTTGAAATTTTTTCCTAATTTAAATTAGAAAAAATTGGATATTGAATTAGATTGTTAGCTTTAGCAAATCTGCCAGTTTCGGTTTTTATAGGTTAACTCAAATCAGGATCCAGTGCGATACATAATTGTATAAGGAATGTGGCACCGTTGAAACAGTTCAATCTGTTTTTTTAAAACAATGGAGAAAACAAATGGTTTGATTATATAAAATCGAACAGCTGAAAATAATATTTCCCCTGTTCCAAAACATGTTATAATTTTGGTTATAATTGTTTGTTTTTTTTTGTGATTTTTCCTGTAATTTTTAGCCAAACGAAATTCTGTAAATACAGTTATTATCTTTGAAGTTCACAATTTACCATTATTCATGTATTGAAAAGATTAAAAAATTGTATCTTTTAGAAATATTTTTCTTCTTTAAAACATAGATCATTTTTAAACAGAAGGAGTAGTATGTTGATGGGTTGGTTTTAAAATGATTGGCTTAATAAAAGAGCCGACAAATCTTATATTAGCCATGAACAAATTAATTGATTGGTTGATTTTATAAGTTATCATGTTCAGTTCTCATTTAAAAGCTTATTGAATGATATAAATTGTTAATCAAATTAACATAAAAACGATGATAACAAAAGTTAACATGAAATGTAAGAGAGCAAACAAATAAAGCATTAGAAATACGAAACAAAGTCCACTTCTCTCTACTCTTAAATTGTTCATCCAAGAGATGAACACTCTTGTGTTTATAGAAGCTGTCTTCAAAGCCTTCATAAGAACGAAAAAAATCGTCTAAAGAAAAGCCTAAGCCACTTCTATCTTCTCTTTTTTTTTTTCATTCAATCTCCACAATCTGAGGAGGCCTCCTCTCCGCAGCTTTCTTGCGTATGAAGATACCCCACCTCAAAGCAGCTTTAAGCTTAAGCCATCCCACCACAGCTTTTCCCGACCCTCTATTACGCTCTCTCCTGTACGTGTTATCGATCTGAGCTTGGTACGGCATACTGTAACCGTAACAAGACTCATCCGTCTGACCAAACCCGCCCTGTGTTCCTCCCAAACTGTTCATACCGATCCCAAAAGTCTTCAACAGTCTCTGCATATCATCAGTCTCAAGCATCTCGGAACTCCTCAGTCTTATTTCTTCACTGAATATGTCTTCAAGACCTTGTCCAGCTCTTGGTCGACACCAATCTTCTCCACTGTACGCGTTGGAACTTTCCATTGGCCTGCTGTTGTAATCTTGTACGTTGCTAGGTAATGATTGGCTGTAATGTTGCTGCACAAACTGAGGATATTCAATCGGCTGGGGAAGGGGAGAATAGGGTATAACATTCTGATGACACTGCACGGCTTGTCTATTGTTCTGGTTATGCATCTGCTGATGGTTTTGAGATGTTGGTGCGGTGGCTATTTTTGGTTCAGGTAAGCCTTTTATCTCCTTGTCCGCCACTGGTAAGCAATTCAACAGCTTACCATCGTATTCAACAGCTTTATGCCAGTTTTCATAAGCTATCTTCACCAGAATGTCTGCAGAGATCTGTTGAGATAACCAGTGATCAGCTTAGTCAAATATTGAGAGAATGAAATGTCTATCTTTACCTTTTGGTCATGGTTAAGAGACTCTAGAGATAAGAACTGTCCGTTTGCAATAAGGCCTCGGAACTCATAGATATGGTTAAAGACAACGCCTGTAGCGTGAGTCTGATCCGTGTAAAACACATAAAGCTTCCCACCCAACACACATGTCTTTGCGTGCTCCATAGTGTTCTCCCACATTCTATTCGACATTCCACTCCCTAGCAACTACAATATGAAAACAAAAATCGTTTAACATGTATAGATCTTTTGCTATGGTGGTTGTTTTTTTCACATAAACATAAGAAGATACTTACATTTCTCAGCTTCTGTGGATCCTTAACAAGTAGTCGAAGGAAGTCTTCAACAGTCACAATACTAGCTTTCAGTAGCTTCTTGTGTAACACTCCGTCTTTCGCTATTCTATCCAGTCTCCAGACTTCATCGTGTAAAGCCGGTGGATAATGTTTCTTGTATACTGAAGGAAAAAAAACTAAGTTATTAGTAACTAACACTCTACTTGTCAATATAATCAAAAGGTTAAACAAAGACTCACATTCTCCTCTATGATCTTTGACAGCAAAAGGTTCTGTTTTAGCTTCACGGATGAGAAAGCTATCACCATACCCTGGAGAAACCTTAACACCAAGCCTAAACTTTCGGCTCCTAATCCAACTCGAGTTATCGGTAAAAGTAAGGTCTCCCAAAGTTCCCACACCTTCCTTAAGCATTACCTGCGTGTCACCGGTCAAGATAGGGCGTTTCCCTTCTCGCTCTTTCACTTCAAAGCTCTCAAAGTGCTCTCTCGTCCAATCTTCATCATCCTCATCATTGAAGTCTCCCTCTAACACTACAACATTGAGCTTGGAAGCCGACTCTTCTCCTGTTTGGACTACATTTCCAGTGTTTGCATCTATAAGAACCACGTGAATGGCTGAGCCTCGCTCTCCCTCCACTTTCCCACCTGTGAATAAGTGTGGAGGCATTCGTGTCTTAAAGTGAAGTTGAAGGTTTCTTCCATCGCGGCCTTGGATCCTCTTAGGTTCTGGTGACCTGGAGATTTTTATGCCGGTTAAACCAGAGACTCAAACGCTACAAAGATCACAGAACTATTTCAAGAGGAAAAAGTATAACTGGAGAAAGTACCTTGACGTTAACTTTGAATTTCCCAACTTTGATAATGCTCGTTCCACCTCTTCACTAACCTGTTTGTTTGTCCACACCATAATGGTATACAACTCCACAAGAATCGAATAATTTACTCTAAGAGCAGAGGATAATAACTCACGATTTTGCGAAACAATGGCTCCAAAGACGAGCAAAGCCTCTGCAGACTATCTACCTTGACAGCTTCCACAATAACACTGTAAAACAGTTTATTTCACATGAGCAAATCAATAAACTTGCAAGCGAATCAAGAGCTTTGGAAACTGAACAACAAAGGATACATCTACACTCATTAAGATTTAAAGAATCTTAGTTTTAAACGCAAGAAGGTTTACATTTTCCTCTATGATCTAACAACAAAGCAAGTTCTTATTCACTAGTTGTATAACATTGAGTTACTTGGAACTGAAAAAAATAACAGAAAATATTTGAGGAAGTTACCTTGCCAAAGCAGGCACTTTTTGTCTCTTCGATTCTGCCAAGTTGTCTGCATCCTCTTGACTGCATTCGTATCCACGCTTGTTCATGGAACTTTCCATTTAAGAAAAAAAAAAAGAAATTACAATCTCTGTGTCAAGAGATAAACAAAAACTATTCCAGAGTTAGGAAAAAAACAGCGGAAGTCCACGAAAGGAAGGTTCAGAGAAAGAACACAAGAAACATAACACACATAATAACTTGAATATAAAACAAATAGCCACAAGCTATAGAGTGTAGACAACCCACATGGGTTTTGGACGGTTTGCAGAAGTCACTGAACCGAGATCTGTTCTTTAATGGTAGATCCAAAGCGTTGATAATATTATGGAATCTGTCCATGTGAGCATTAGAATAATGCATAGGAAGAGAGACTATTTTAATGGCTGACACTAGTATAAACAAATCGAAAATATAGAAAAAACGCAGCTGTTTTTGTGGCTGAATAAATATTGAAATTTGATACGGCGTGATACCTGGAGCTATCATATGCTGCATTATGTCAACCTTATTGCGTTCTTGACTTCTCTAGTTTTGTCTCTTCTCTGCTCTTGTCCCCCTTCACACATTCTCATGTTTTCTTAACATCTGAAAAATGTATTTGTTAGTCTTTACAAAAAAAGAAAATAGAGTCAAGTAACTTATGCATAGGCCATGTTCATATATCACAGTTATACAAAATCCTCATAAAATAAAATCAATCTTGCTGTCTCAATCAGATGCAAATCTCAACAAACAAAAAACCCACGTTTATAAATCATATATTTATCTCTTGCTAGTAAGAATTTGATGGTTGGGTTTGTTGATGAACATGAACTATAAAATACAGCGTTGTTCAAGAAAAAAAAAAAGAACTATAAAATACAGAAGTCGGTGACTTCTCTTCCAATGTGACTACTAGACAAAAAACTATATCTGAACTTTGAAGAAAAGTCAATATAAGTCACACTCACACCCTTTCTTTAACTATATTTGGATTCGGGAGCAAAACAAAAAAAAAGAGCTACATATAAAGACTTTGCCTTGAGAACTAAGCGATTCCCATGTTCTCATGAGCTATATGCGGAAGAGAAAATCTAGTTTGCTTGCAACGAGAAACTCTTCAAGGGCACAGTAAGAAGAAGTCACAAAACAGTGATATGCTTACTCACCTTTCGAACCTAATTGCTGAGCCCTCCGCTCCCACAAAGAAGTGACCTTCCTCTCTTTGAGCATCAATGCTTGAGCTCTCCCTCTCTCTAGCTGATTCGCAAATTTATGTTGCAGCGTTAACATTTCTCAGCCTCCTTTTGGTACTGTGAAGCAACCCTTATAGCTTCAGCCAATGTAAAAAATTCATGTGATGACTATACTCTTCTGAAACTGCCACTTGCAGCTTCAGCTCTTCAGTGAGAATACCACAAACTGCTTCTCCATCTCTTATGTTACACAACATAAGTAAAATAGAGGAATGATCTTAAAAATAAAAGAGATAAACAATAACAACTATCTCTTAAAAGTGTTCCTTCAAAAAAAAAACTAGTTACGTTCTGGAGAAATGGTTACTTATACACCACACTCACATGTATTCAGCATGATTCCATAAGGTTCTTGATTAAGAATCATCTCATTCGCATATATAAATCATTAGACATACTAGAGTTTTAGAGAGTCCTGAAAATCACTCTAAAATGAACTAAATTTCTCCTAATTTCAAAATTTAAACGGATGAACAAACAGATGGTGGATTCTCAATCAGAGCTTAAGAGAGGAGAGTTACTGACAAAAGCAAACAAAAGGACGACACACGGAGCTGATCGTAAAGAGAATAATGTCACCAGAAACCTAATGCAGTTTCCCGAGCTCTGCTGCGGTGACGAATGCTCAAATTTCATAATTTTGTTAAATCGTATCATCACAAGTGAAGCTGACGTAATAATGCGATAAACGACGTCGTTGGTTTCTCACTATCATGATCGCATTTTGTTTTTTTAACTATTTGCGATTGTACCCTTTTAGTTTCCGTAACATTTCTAACACTCGCTTTACATTTAAATTTCATTTATAAATCAAAATGAAATTCGAAGCCTAAAGCAGTAATGTGGCAAAAAAATAACACCCCAATCTTTTCCTACGATCTCTGTTCTCTATTTTTTCTTTCAGAATTTAGTTTTCAAATTCATGTTTACTTCATAAGGAAAAATAAGATTACAGTAAAAATAATATAACAAACATTCAATTGCTGAATGGAAAATCAAACTTGTTGTATTTGCAATGCAACCAGAAAGGGTTCCTAGATATAGAATGATGACACTTCTTTATAACAACTTGCGGGATATAGTGAACCGAGAGATTTAACTCGTATGATTAGTTATTTTCCTCTCGAGATTCTTATGATTCAAAGATCTAATTAGGGCTGGGCATTCGGGGTCCCAATCGGGTTTCGGTTCGGGTTCATTCGGGTTTCGGGTTTTCGGGTTCATGAATTTCAGCCCCATTCGGATATTATAAAAATTCGGATCGGATTCGGTTCGGGTTTAATCAGGCTCGGTTCGGATTTAGTAACATGTCCAAAATCCAGTTGAACACGAAATAGTTTCGGTTTCGGATACTTATTTGATTATCGATTCTAAAAATACTAATTTATACTCAATTAAATTCACTATATTTTCAATCTTTTTATTAAATTGTGTATTTAGCTTCTACAAACCGTATTAATATTATGAAACTCATCTATCAACAATATAAGATTTGTCATTGAACTATATGTGACAAAAACATATCATGATTAATGATAAACCAAAGTCTTGTATGAAAAAAAATCATACATAATGAAACATAAAAAGTTAAAATTAACAGCTAACAATTATATAAACGTAAGAAGTAATATTGAAAATTTAAAAAACAACATTATTTAAACTTCAAAACAAATTTATTCGTAACTTAGCTTCAAATGTAGTGTCAATCATAAACATTAGTAACAGCCAAATAACACTATATATTAGACTAAATATTTGAGTTAATTATTCATATCATAACTAATTATTATAGGTATTCAATAATATATTAATGTGTTTTGGAAACATATTAGAAATTTAGATTAAGTATGATATAAGTTTTTTTGGAATTTTAAAGTTTCGGGTTCTNTAGTAACAGCCAAATAACACTATATATTAGACTAAATATTTGAGTTAATTATTCATATCATAACTAATTATTATAGGTATTCAATAATATATTAATGTGTTTTGGAAACATATTAGAAATTTAGATTAAGTATGATATAAGTTTTTTTGGAATTTTAAAGTTTCGGGTTCTTTCGGATATCCATTTAAGTTCGGGTTCGGTTCGGATAAAACCCATAACCCGAAATACCGTAAAACAAGATCCATTTGGTATTTATGTCGGGTTCGGATCGATTCGAATTCCTTTTTATCGGGTCGGGTTCGGTTCGGATTTTCGGGTTTCGGTTTTTTTGCCCAGCCCTAGATCTAATGATACAAATATTTGTCTCATTTCTAAAAAATATAGGCCTCTACCGAGATGGCAAAATTTAGGTCGGCCAAATAGTTTATACATTGTGGGTTACAAAGATAAAATTACAACGTAGTTACAACGCTGGAAGACAAATTACAAACCAACTCATAGTCTTTGTCTTGAGAGTTTTTTCAGACTGTCTCAAATCGTTGGTCGTTTTTTCCATCCAACCAATCGTGAACCAAGCCCATTTTCTTTGTCGAGGACTGTTTATAAGATGTGGGTCAATACCACCAACCCATGGTCTTTGTCTAGACCTTCTAAAAAGCAGAAACTGTTTTCGATTTAGTTTTTATGTAAAGACTGATTTCAAATAATTTGTCTTTTTCACTTTTTTGACTTAAGAGTTGGTCATTATACCCATCCAACTCATATTCTTTGGTACATTTTTTAAGCCTTGTATTTTTCAAGCAGAAAGTGTTTTACTCCTTGTGGTTCATAGTCTTTGTTTTAAGACTTCTCCAAGCCGTTTGGTCGCTTTTTAATCCATCCAACAAGTCTTCTTTTGCTTGTCTTTGTTTTCATGTACAGACTTATTTGTCTGAGCCGCTGGTCATTGTTTCCATCCAACATATCTAAAAACTGACCCCTTTTGTCTATGTCAAGAGATTTCTTTAAACCGTTTAAAATCTTTTATTCCATTAAGGACCCTTTTCTAAGCAAACCAATATTGTCTTTTGTGTAAAAGACTTTTGTTTCAAACTGTCTTAAGTTTATTTCAGTTGTTGGTCGTTTTGCTCTAGTTTTAACACTTTCCGACCCAACAGAGCCCTTTGTCTTGTCAAGGGACTTTTGCAACTTCTTCAAACCGTCTGAACTCTTTTATTTAACCATGAACCCTTTTCTAAGCAACCCATAGTGTCTTTTTGTGTAAAGAATTTTGCTTCAGGCTGTGTCTTAAGCTGATTTCAGCTGTTGGTCTTTTTTTTTTCCACCCAACAAATTGTAAACCATCCCATCCAACTCAATTCTTTGTCTCCCTTTAAGCCTTGTGGTAATCGCAACATACTTATTCAAGCCTTGTGTTTCAGAATCTTTGTCTTAAGACATCTTTAAGATATTGGTCGTTTTTTCCAGTCCAATGAATCTTATTTAAGCCAGTAGGCGTTTTTTGATCCAAGGGCTTTTTCTTAAGCCGTGGGTCATTTTTCTCTCATCTTCATATAGTCTTTGTCTATAATACTTTTAAGCATGCACTAGCAACCAATAGATTCCAAATCTTTCCATCCAACAAATAGTACACCAACCCATCCAACTCTCATAGTCTTTGTCTATCTTGTGGTTATCGCAAAGACATTGTTCTTTAAGCCTTGTGGTTTAGAGTCTTTGTCTTAAGAGAGCTGTTGGTCGTTTTTTTCAAATCCAACAGTCTTCATTAGGCGATTTTCCATATAAAGACTTTTTCTAAACCGTGGGTCATTTTCTTTCTCATTCCCATATAGTATTTGTCTCAAGACCTTTAAGCATGCACTACCAACCAATAGATTCCAAATTTTTCCACCCAACAAATCGTAAACCAACCCCATCCAACTCTCATAGTCTTGGT